GAAAAGTCGGTGCGAGAACGAAATGGAGTTGCTTCCATTTCCAGAGTTGCATGTCACCTTGACTCCCGTCCCTATCAGCTCTGATGTTTTACAGTGTCGGCCCCCTCCAGAACCCTAGAGGCTTGGAAAGTACCATGAAAGGTGATAGTAATGATGCAAATAATTTCAGTGAAGCAACATCTTTACAGTCAAGGGCAAATGTGCATCCAGGTTGCTCCTTCATGTCAGTTATGTGGAAAACGGTTAAAGCAACTCCCAAATTCGGATCGACAGACCTTTGACTCTCGTCCGAAGATCTCTTCCTCATAGATCCAGTCAAAAATGCCATGCTCCCAGTTCGGAGCGCCATCGCTAATTTTTATCGACGTGGAAGATTCAGCTGAATCCGAGTAGTACAAATGGCCATTCTGCCAGAATATCTGAAAAACATCGCAATACAAGCAAAGAAGCATTGAGAAAATCTTTATTAAGTAATTAGTAGATCGGAAAATTCTTGAGGTTGACTGGAATATCCACTGTGAGCACAGAGTCTTGCTCGCTACGGATGCTGGGGCGTATAAGGGGGGAGAAGTTGGGGGAGGCTGAGTTTGGCGAGCCGCCAGCCTGTTTTCCACCAATTGTAGTCGCTTGTCAGCTTCTAGGATGGTAGAGGATGAGTTGGCGCCACGTCAAATCCTGCGAATCCTGCCTATTCCCAGCATCCACAGCAATTAAGACTGTATAATATATTGCTGGCAAAGCCTCACGAAGTTATAGTAGTCATCGGCCAACAGGAAGGCGTAACACTAGTAGAAAGCGAAAACAAAATGTAGCAAGCGAATAATAAGAAATGTGAACTGACATAGTCGTTTCCAGTTGGGCACCACTGGAAAATCCGTTGAGCCTCGTCTTCGGTTTTAGCGATACCAACTTTATAGGTGAGCCTGAGAACAGTTCCACAAAATTTATCACTTACTTACTTTTGATTTGTTCTGCAACTCACTGTGTTTCACGATTAAAAATCATGATCGAGTACGTCATGTCGAACTTGCGGGAAATCTGAAATATCTCTCAAGGTTTCGCGTAACTTGCGTAAAATAAGGAATAGGTCTTAGCCCAGCTTCCTTGGCAATATGTGCTAAAATTACTAAAGGGAAGGGGTTAAGCACGTTTAAGGTCAACCTGTAACAAAACTACTGGTTTGGTATGCTGCTATAGGGCCCGATTAGATATCGTCTCCCAACTGTGAAAGTGTTGTACCCCACAACAAACATCATATGACGTTAGTAGGTGGGAATAGGATTGAGGGAGGAACAACGTACCAGTAAATGAACAAGTAACGAGGCTTAGAAAATTCAGTGGTAGATAGTGCTGCTGGTAAACTTCAATGGGTATAAAAGCAGCGATTATGGAAACTTTGTGCTTGGTGAGAAGAATCGGCTCCGTTTCCCGTTGGTCGCTTATTATGAGTTCCTCTCCTTTAACCTGGTCTTTCGCCCACATTCAGATCCCCTGTTGCTCTTCCACAGCATACTAAGTCGCTGACCTATTTCAAGAAGATACGAAAGGCTCATAGGAACTGTTAAGCATGGGGTCGTACACAGGCTGCGGTACACATGAACTCCTCGTGCTGTTTTTTGGTTTGGTTCCCCGTTCCCATCAATTCCTGAAGATTCCCTGTGTTCCTTACGAGACTGTTATAAAGAGTGACATTTTGGTGGCCCGGTCTAAGCTATTCCAGAGGCTTAAATAATCGCAAGGTTCCCCTCAGGTTGTCATTATCGCAGGCGCCACATGACAGCGATGAAAAGTTCTAGTTCAGATCTCAGCCAAAAGTCGCGCTCGATAGAGGAACCCTACTTCTAATGAGTTCCACTTTGACATCGTTCTCGATGGATCAAGAAGAAGGTTGCCTGAAAAAAAGGCAGGTGGGGGGCAAGGGGGAAACTTCCGGGTACTTTCCACGGACAAGATGAAATGGACTTTGCGAATCAGCTAAAGCAGTAGCGAAACAAACTTGGTCAGAAGTCAGCTTGAACAGCGCGAAGTAGCGTTGGTCCGACGACATCGTGTATTGGTGGTGTGTCAACTGCAACAAGAATGAAGTAACAAGTAATGTAAGTATAGAGGATCAGTGAGCAAAGTAACAAGGAGGGACTCATATGTGCACTTACTGCATATTTATGAAAAAAAAACATAAACTAGGGTTTAAAAGTATGAAATTAAGACAAAGTGTCCCTCGCGTACATATTTCTACACACCACTTCAACTCTGGGAAATCCCTGGCCATCTCTTCTACGGATTCCTGAGACTCTCAGCAATATCTCTGTCTTGTTTCCACGGCTAAAAGTGGACCAGTAGGTACCCTTTGACTGTAGAGACTTAAAGTATGACATGATATTTGTTTCACACATTCTCATGACCTACGAGCTGGCGATCACTATAGTCTTGGTGCTCGATGGACACTCTGAGGGGTCCAGTTCGTGGCCTTGGTGATTCCACGTTGATCACAAATCAAATGTGACAACCTGTTTGACTGGTATTTACCAAAAACTAAATAAAGAAGGAATAAAACTTTGACCTCGTTACTGACCTTCGGGCGCCTATCGAGTTCGGTAGACTCCGCAATTTCGATTTCTCCGATGCTAAGTCAATTCGAAAAACCATTGAGCTACAGGTACTGCTGTTCCGCTGGCATAACCATTGATAGGGAAAAGGGGAAGAAAATCAGTTGAAAAATCCCGCACATCTTGTTACTTCCGCTCACTTGCTGTCCTAACACACAAGCTAGACCTGATCTATACGCTTGGTGGACGAACGCGTGGTCGGTCTCATTCCACGCGCCACTAGAGGAAAATGCGGTTCCACAGTTCACCCGATTACAGCGGCTTATACACGTGAAATCATTAAACCCTTATTTTGGACTGTAAATAAAACTTGACAGATTGTAAACAGCGGTACCGATTCGAACCAGTCTATTGTTGCTTATTTCGGAGAGGCGCGTGGAAAGAAATATACGCGACAAGATCAAAAGCAACGGTCAAGCTAAAATGCTAATTACACTGGATTCCCATGCGAGGGCTGGTATTAAGTTAGTATTACCGATAACAAAAGTTCGGAACCTCTGCGTTTCATTTCAACCTTAACAACATTCTAAATCACGCTTATATTGCAGCGTTGTGAGAGAACTGTGCGTAAACCCTATGCTCATAAAAGGCAGAGCCCGCATCCATCAGAATTGTACTAAGCGCTCTGGAGGGAATAGTGTGGACTGTAACGAACAACGCTTATAAGTTCACAGTAAGGTAGCGGCGGTAAGGCGACAGATTAATCGATAGATGATATTATAGATGTCCTAGCTGCCGTCTTGCTTGTTTGCATCGCTCTCTCGCTGGTTCGTCTGGCTTCTCGCCCGATATCCACATCGATTCTTCGCTTCTCGCTTAGCGCACGTAGGGTCTTATTTTGAGGCGTATTTTTGACGGATTTCCTTTCCGTTTTTTCTTCACGGGCAAGTTGACTAGCGCATTTTAACACTTTTTATTTTTCTACCCCTCTTCCTGCGAACTTTTGCTGCCTCATTGCAAAGTTTGCCTTCGGATGTCTATACAACGATGCGCAAGAATAGATCTATACGAGTTCCTGCACTGTTATAGGTTGGAATAGCCACCTTGGTTGCTGGGTAACTCCCATATGCTTTTCTCCCTCTACAGTAAGCTCACCTATTGGACTTCGCAGGACATAGTACACTACACGTGTAGAGCCGTCCAGGACTGCACCATGGAGAGCGTCGATTTGAAAATATATTTCCACAATGTGGTGCGTGAAGGACGCATATAGCGTTAATCAGACGCACATGCCCTTAATTAAGCGCAAGACAACAAACATGTCGGCTACGCCTACAAAACAAACACGGGAAGGTCTGCATGTTCAAAAAAAATCATTGATTGAAATTGGTGTCTAGCCTACTGCATTTCCGTATCACAATAGATCGTTCAGGATAGTTCAGCGACGGGAGGGGGTATTTTGCACTTCAATTACTTCCCATCGATGTGTCGACCCATCTAGAAAGTCATCCCGTGAGCTAGCAAAAGTTAACAGGTTCTACCATGGTAGCTAGACGAGCTTGGCCCAGATTCACAAGAGTTATCAGGTATTCGACCCAGTTGAAACCTGTGTAAAACGGAACTAGTGAGCAATCGAAAGATCAAAATGCCCACCACTCTGATGAAGAAAAAAAAAGGATAGAAAGCATCGTCTCTAAGAGTTTTCGCACTGTCAAGCCAGTTGCTCTTCAGCAGGCCTCCGTTCGTGGCCCCCTAGTGAGGTCGTCCCTTACTGCCTTCGGGCTCCAGAAAGCTCTACGATAGTCGCGCCACTGTAAGCGCTGATGATGAGATAGCTTCGCCATGATGTTGAGTTGATTTGATGGGTTTGATTTGCTTTTATGTTAAACCCCACAAAACAAGGTGTTAGTCAAGCCCTTGACATCCCACGCACCTTGCGTTCGACGGGAAAGCTGATCAACACAAGGGATTTAGCGTTTGCGGGAGGTCGTATGGTCGGGCGGATTCCCGGCGAAGGGATCGCGGCCATATTCTGGTCGCCGGATGGGGGGGGGGAGGGTGTCTTCGGCCTAAGAAATTCCGTTTCCGAGGTGGGTTGACTTTCCGTGTTTTACGCGCACTGTCTGATTTTCAGGGGAGGGATTGTGGGACCGTATTCTCGTCACTGGGTGAAAGCAGTCGTTTCACATCTCTCGAAAGAGAATTTGCCAGGTCCAGTCGCTTGGGAATTTTTTTCCGGGGTCACGCCGGTAAATACTTTTCTGCAATTTTTTCCGTTTCGATAAGTCATGTACCCTCTGTAGATCCTCATCCCCTCGCTCGACAGGCAAATTCTCGGGAAAAATGGAAAAAATTTCCAGAAATTTTGAAAAATGTGGAAGGAAGCGTCTTACCAGCGGATGAAACTGGGAGTGGGAGGGAGTCGTTTGGAAACTTTCCCCAGTGACAGGACGTGTCCTGATTTATCAGTATCCGATATAAATGTCTACAGTATCCATTTACCCTACCGTTATCTGTGAAATACGATGTAGGGTATGCAGCATAAGCGAAGGGTTTTTTCGACTCACCCTCCACCCTACTGAGGTTTGAAAATAAGGCGAAAACCCAGGTATAACTCTGATTTTAGAACAAACGAACAAAACGAAACGGAAACATATTAGGTGGGTATCTTTCCTTCACAAAGATAGCTCTCTGACTACGTACCAAGGCGGCTTTGTCGAGCAACACATCCGTGGTCATTTGCTTCACCGACAGTCGAAGTACACCGCCAGTTACGTTATCGTAAACGATGTCGTCCTGACCACTCCATCGCGCGTTGAGAACCGACGGTCGAAGTTTAGACATCGTTGTTAGATTGAGCGGTGTACGTGAGTAATCTATGGCTGCCGACACTGAAATAGACCGTTTTTTATTGATTGATTCATTACCTACACGATAATGTCAACATAAACATAACCGCGAAAACGTTTTTGTTCGGCAGGCTGTAAAGGGATTTGTTCAGGCGTCAGGTTCAGTAGGAGGTGTTGTCACCACTGACTGATAGCATACGTGAGTTTTGGAAAGTTGTGTGACAAGTTGGATTTGTAGTTGCGCAGATGTAAGTCGGAGGGTTCAAAACAGCTTCCACCTAGTTACTCACTGGCAGAGGTTGACAAAAGATTCGTTTGGATCAAGCCCACCTGAGGCCCTGTCCACTGTTTGACTTTCAGTCTGGCATTCTACAGGTATGATCCAGAACAGAAGAATTCTGAAGCAACACTTGTCAATGTTGAACCACCCTTCAATCCACGACCCGTTGTAGCCAAGCAAATTTATACAGCGGTCAGTTTCCGGAACTTACCGTATAATCTAAATAACCTTTCGAGCTTATTGATGAAGCAGTATGATTGTAGTCGAGCGCGGGACGTAAGGAATAAAGGGATTGAGCAGGATTAATCGAACTTTTCTGGGATGCCGGGCGTTCCACTTTCTTTTAAATCTTGGTGACTATCCGAATGGCTTATGTAATGACTCGTGGGAGCCAGCCGATACACAACTAGT